TTATTACTTTTAGATTGTCTTCTTTTTAGAGAGTGACATGGACTTGGAATCCATGACCCTTGACTCCTCCACTAAAAATTTCAAGGGATAAATAAATTATATGTATATGTTTAGATTTATTTATTTTATTTTTAAAATAAAAATTTAAATTTGAAGTTTGAAAAGAGTCACATTTATACAATTTACATTATGTGTGGAATTTAAAGGAATTATCGTTGTGTACGAATACCAGCCTTAAATAAGAAAATTTCAAATCTCCATATAAAAAATTGGATATTAATAACCAAACTTGTAAGTCAACTTCTCACAAGCCTTTTAATTGACATTTTACAATCCAAGTTGTGATTTTCACTCTGAGCCTTAAAACAAAGATAAAAATAAAATAAAATCTCATATGGTTTAAAAATTTGAAAAAGATGATGGACTATTAGTTGGGAAATATGATTACAATTATAGAACTAATTCAATCTTTTTTTCATAAATAAATAAATTAATACAAATAATAAATTTTATTATCGAAATGAAATCTGTAATAATGTTATGGCCTAAGCTGAACCGATTTAGACTACGGAGACAAGCGGCTCCATAATTGAAAAGGTAAAGGAAGAGTGAGGCAGTCAAGCCTCAAATATGAAAAGGTGTGAGCCACTTGGGTGTCCACTAAGACCATGCATGTGTTAGTAGTAGGATAGTTTGACAAAGTTCTTAGGTTTTTCCTTAAAATGGATGATGTGTTTGTTTTTTTAGAACAAAACAGAAGAGAGAATGGACAAAAATACAAACTTAAGGTGGAGTGGAGCCACACTCACTCTCTCACTCTCTCTTGAAAGATAGCTAATACACTGATGACAAGAGAGAGAGAATATTGCACACACTCCAAAATGGAAAAACATGGGGGTCATATATATGCAAGCACACACTTTTTTGTCTAAGTTTTAAAGGTCCCCCTCAATTTAGGGAAAAAGATTGTTTTTCCTTACGACTTAGTACTTGAAAGAACTTGGACTTTGACGAAAGAGAGATAGAGTGTGTGTGTGTTTTGATAAGATACTTAAGAGGGGTGGTGAAGAAATGTTCCTCTTTTCTCTGTTTGACCGCTTAAGAATCTAACGTTTTGTTTAATTAATAAGATTAGTAAAAATTAACAAATTATGAAATTGGTATATAAAGAGATTTGGAACATGGGGCTTTTAAAATTGGGAGTGTAAAACCATCACTTCGGTGGTTTTATGAATGAGTTGGACCTAACTTAAATGTAAATGGGAAAAAAAAAATTATAGAGTTATCAAAAAAAAAAAATTTGTGAGGCCTGTCTCCTTTATTTCTCATCTCTCTTCTTATCTCTCTTCTTCTAAGTTGTTGCTATGTTTGGGAGGTGAGATTTTAACTTTGGTCAAGTTTGGCATGAATGAAAAAAAATAAAAAGTCAAAAAGTCAAAAAGTTACTATCCTATTTAAGTCACATCACCTCTCTAACACATCACTTCAAACCCAACCCAAACCTAACCCATATTTCATAAAAAGTCAAAAAGTGCACTTATTTAGTCTTCCCAAACTAGGCCTTAATTTAAGATACGATTCGTAAAAAGATAAAATAGATTAAAACAGTAAATAAGATAAAATGTTAAATCAAATTCATAATCATTTTATTTTTTCTTTCACAAACATCACATCTAACTATAAAATAATCCAATCATCTTCCCAAACACAAAAAAATTTAGTCTACTAAGAGCATTTGTATCAGTCTCAACAAATTTTGAGTTAAATTTTAACCAAAAATCCACTTTTGTTATTTTAGTTAGTCACCTTTTTAGTACTCACTGTATTAAATTCTCTATTCTAACTCAATCTTATTAAAAAACTAATTTCTTATTGTATTTGTTATTCTTTATTTTTTTATTAAATTGATGAGGTGCCATTGAAACAATTCTTAAAAAATAAAAAATAAAAAAATTGCCATTGACTGATTAATTCGCCGGTCGATCGGGTAGACTAGTTTTTGGTATTTTTTCTTCTTCTGCTATAGGCACTCACGGGACATCGGGTGGGATATCCGGGGAGATATCCGGATGGACGACCGGTTTAAAGATTTTGGCCCAGTTTTGCTCCAAAAAATATAAAAAAGAATCATGTAGCTAATGAACAATGCCTCAACAAAATTGTTGAGATACTGTAGCAAATTTAACAAAAAGTTAATTTACAAAAAAATTGTCGAGCCTAATGGAGGAACAATTTTGTAATTTACTAGCTATATTTTACCTTTTTGTTATTTTGGCTATACTGATGCGAATGCTCTAAAATAGTCAAAAACTAAAACAACAACTTCCCAAACACCCACTTAGTATCGCCATGGTTAACAATTAAGGCTATGGGCTATTTTAGTCATAAAAAAACAAAATAAGTTTTTTAACCTAATAAGACAAAATATCACATTTAATCCATAATCATTACATAATAAGTTTTTTAACTCAATAAGACAAACTATCACATTTAATCCATAATCATTATATTTTTTCTCTCACAAAAAGTCAAAAAAGTTAAAAAGTCCTTCCCAAACGAAATTTTTTAGCCCTAGGCTAAAATAGCCAAAAAACTAAAAAGCAAAAAAAGCCCACCCACTTCCCAAATGAACCCTATGTTTGGCGTGAAAGTTTGAGTTGGATTGGGTTGGGTTGGGTTATTTTAGCCATAAAAAGACAAAATAGATTTTTTAGTCTAATAAAACAAAAGCTTCATTTGGGAAGCCAAGTTTGGGGCCTTTTTGCCTATTTTAGCCATAAAAAATAAAATAGGCTTTTTAAACAAATAAGATAAAACATCACATCCAACTCATAATCATTACATTCTTCCTCTCATAAAAAAGTCAAAAAAGCAAAAAAACTAAAAGCCCTTTTCAAACGAGGTTTTTTAGTTCCAGGTTAACATATCCAAAAAAATCAAAAAGCCAACCCACTTCCCAAACGAATTCAAAATGTCACATCCAATCCATAATCATTTTATTTTTTCTCTCACAAAAATAAAAAAATCCAAAAAACCTATTCCAAACAAGACTTTTTAATCTTGTCTAAAATAGTCAAAAAGTCAACAAATTAAAAAGTCAACTCACATCCCAAATGAAAGCTAAGAAAATTTACAACAATAAAAGATAGTTCAACTATTAGGTCACTTCAATTGTTGTTTTAAATTCTACAAGAAATTTTTTTTGAAAAAATTATTATCAAAAGCCTCAATTTTTCAACAACTTAATTAGATAATGCCTTATTTTAATACTTATTCTGAAGTTTCTAAAAAACTTGGACCAACAACAACAATATATGCATTGGAGACAAATTAAAAAACCAGCAGTGTTTCATCTCCTTAAAATTAGAATTTTAATTGAACTTTAATAATGTGAAAAAAATAAAATAAAATAAAATAAGGCCAAAACATTACCTCAGATGGGTCCACACACAAATTGAAACTATTAAAACTCTCTACTTAGCGCTCTCAAACATTTCTCTTAAAAAAAAAATCTGAGTTAACTAGTTGTCCTAATGTTAAACTCTAACTGACCAACGAAAGCATTACTACTTTAGTACAGTTATGATATTATCTCAAATAAATTTCAATAATTTATTTATGTAAATTATATGCATTTATAACATGATCATGCCTATCCAAGAAAAAAAAACATAATCATGTCGATCGTGCTGAATAATTTCTTGTGCATTTTTGAGGCATCGGCTCTCTTGTAAATTTAAAGAAGATTTTGTTCACCCACTTTTGTAAGAACAAAATCACGCATACTCATTGATTTAAGTAACGGGATCTATTACTTTAAATATATAATATATTTTTAAAATTTAAATTTAAATTTAAATTTTCAAGAAAAATATAATAAAATCATATGAAGACTATTATTGAGTCAAAAAAAAAATCATAAATAATTTATACACAATGTCCTACAAATTTAAAGAATCAGATAACCTAATTTGATATTACCCTAATATTTTTTTTTTTTTTTTATCATAGTACAATCAACAAGATTACGAACTTGGAATTATCTACTTAGAATTTATCCAAAAAGATGAAACAATGTTTCAAATTCATTTCATTTATGGATCCCACACTTCAACAATTTAATCTCCACTATTCATGCTTATTCTGAATAAATACTAGCACTGTAAGTCTAGACCGTATCTTTTTTGTAGTATAATAGATGTACGGTACATGCAATCACATGCAATAAAACATATGAGTTTTGTTATGGTATTTTATATTTTTATTTTGGTACGGACACCATAAATAAGTTATTTATTGACTTATTAATTTATTTAGGTCACGTTATCTTTTTATTTTTCTATAATTTTTTCATAATAAGTAAAATAGTCAATTTATAAATTATACAAAAAAAAAAACCCCCCTAAAACTAAATTCCTAATTATTTTATTAACAACGTGAACTCTACACACATGCAAGTAATTAATAAAATAGTTATAAATTTATTTTGTATCTTTATTTTTTTACAAAAATATATTTGATTTAAAAATATATACATAATTCAGTATTATTTTCTCAAAATAATTACAAAAATAATAAATAAATTTAAAATTTTAATTATTAATGTTCTTAAAATTTAACACTAAATTATAATTTCTATTATATTTTATTTGAAAAAAGAGAGCGTGGGAAGGGTTGATCAGTGGATATATCGATCTGTCCAAACCGACTTAACCGAGTCAATCCGTCGCATTTTAGACGGATACGTGATGACGGGCGAACAGTTATAGATTGATTTTTTTTCAATCCGCCTAGTTTCGGGCGAATGGAGGATTTGAGATTCTTTTGATCGCAACCGAACCACCAAACTACGATTATTCTAAAATTTCAAACTTTTTTTTTTTGGATGAGGCATACAATGATTGTAATACTTTTTTAAGTCATTGATTGTAATATATATATACTAGCGTATGCCCGTGCCTAAAGGCACGGTGTAAATAATATTAAAATTAAAATGTAGTTATAAAAATATATTTAACAGATTGTACTCTACAATTCCAAACAAATCAAATATAAAAAAAAATTAAAATATCAAATAATGCACGATAGCCAGTGCTCTGCAATTTAAAAGAAATTAAAACTTAAATGCACACCAGTTAGTGCTACTGTTGCTAATCAAATTATAACTACATAAGAACCAAGTTTGACTGACAAAAAATAAAAATAAATAAATAAAATAAAATCCCAATCAACAAATCCAATTGTATAATTGCATTGTGTCATAATCTAGAACCAAGTTTGACTTAAAGGCAACACCGCACCTCATTACCAAACTCTGGATACTAATCTTAAAATGCAAGCTCCCATAGAGAGAGTGAGAATATTTTACAAACATCAGGGGCATATTTATAATTTACCTTTTTTTAAGATTTTGTGAAAATTTGAGAACAGAGATTTAGAGGGCTGCAATCCATCACATTCTTACAGTATATTGGCATAGTTTTTAAATTTCTTTTGTTTGGAAACCGACCAATAACAATAGACGAAAAGATAATCAAGTGGTTTACTATTAAATCTAGGATTACATCTCTTTTTAAGACAGGTCCCTAGGTAATCAATGAATTTCAATCAAAGAAGATAGAGAAACAATTGATGGATGTGAGTATCCTAACAATTGTTAAATGCAAAGCAAAGCACTAACCAACAAACTCAACTTCAGAGAAAGTTTCGAATGTGTAATGACTTCACATCAACCATCTCCTCATCCTTAAATTCCTCCCTGAAATATATCGAAAGCATTCCATCCATTAACCATAAAATAATAATAATAATAATAATAATAATAATAAATAAAAACTGTATACAACAAATGTTAATAGTGTAGACAAATGCTTAGTAATTGAAGGGGAACACTAACACACTGGGTATAATAATGTTTCCAATGCTAGATATTGATAATGTTAATGGTTTGTTGATAGCATTGGAAACAATATCAATATCTAGCTTGTAGTCCTTCTCATTGACACCCATAACAAACATGGGAGCATCCTTACTTGGGGCAGAAATGACAACCTCCTTTGCACCACCCTGGTGATTAAAAAAAAATCCAGAGCAATACTATCAACAAACCATGTCGTCATGAACATTTGCAAGCCAACAAAATAACAAACATTGCCCAATTGAGCATAACATGTCAAGTCAAAATTCATGAGTGGGGCATTATACCAGCACTGGTATTTTAGCCAAAGAAGAAAACAGATTCAACATGCAACATTTCCATTTAAAAAAATAAAAGAACCAGAAATCAATATTGATGAAAGCAAGACAAATATATCTCTTCAACTATATCAGAGAAAGTATGCACACAAATCAAAATCAATCAAAGGATTTAATCAAAGGATTTAAGTCAAAATCAAGTTGATCATATTTTCAAAATCAACTCTATCAAAGGATTTAAGTCAAAATCAATCAAAATCAATCAGAATCAAGCATATCCCCTCGACGGACCAAAGGATTTCATTCTAGTGTATGCCCGTACCTAAAGGCACGGTGTAAATAATATTTTGTTTGAATAATTTTCATATGTCATTCTCTCTTAAGCTAGGAACACTGAGAATCAAGCATACCTAATCCGTTTTACCATGACATACAAAAAATGAATAGATAACATACATTTGAGTAAGGGGATCCCCTTTATTATAAACACAACTTCAAATAAAAGGAACAACAAAATGGTGTTCTCCCTTTGAAGCACACCATGCCAATACGAAAATAGTATTCCTGATCAAAATCTAAATAAGAAACACCTTTAAATGTTTACCTCTCAAACCAAACCAAATCTATATAAATTTCTACAACGTCAATCTGCCATAATCTTCAACTTTATACAACGTCAATCATTTTCAAAGTTTGTCAATGACAAAACAAAAAATAGTGTAAATTCTGCCCTCGAGATTGTTGCTCACTCGAGATTGCCCCTCTTTCAACACTCATCAATCAAAGAAGTGCACGTTTAGTTTATACAACAATAAATACAAAATCATTAGAGAGATAAGAAAAACTTAAGCCTGAAGAAATGTAGACTTGTAAAAAGGCTGTCAATATTACCATTCGCTTGTAGTCTTCATCCACCTGTAAAATAGAAAAAAAGCCAATATGATAATTAAAAGAGACTACCCAATTCAAAACAAACACATGCATTGTCACACTAATGAAATATTTTTTTATAGACCACCCAATTCAAACCAAACACATACATTGTTGCAAAATAATAATTGGTTACCCAATGCAAACACTATGAACAAACACAACACATTATCAACACAAATACAAATTAATGATTGATAAAAATATTAATTTATAAAAATCAATCAATATTTTCTTTGGATTTTATTTTTTTCAACTCTTTCCTTTTGGAATTTCCTTTAATTGATCACATAAGGTTATGGGAAAAATTTAAGAAAGACGTGTTCTTAAGAAAGAATTTAATAAAATAAAATTCAAAAAGCAAACTCTTCGCTTGGTAATTCAACAACAAACTCTAACTAACTTAATTCTCCCATCATTTACAAATCAATACAACTTAAAAACCCCATTTATTTTCTTCCAAAAACCCAAAGCCATTTATTATATCAATTTAGTCCCATCAATTTTGTGTATGTAACCCTCCATCATCTTCTTCAACCTTCACCTACACCCATACAGATTCATTTTGCTTCCAACCTTAAATAAATTTTGAATATTTGTTAAGCAATACATGACCATAGGCAAAATATTAAACCAGCCCCTTTGGATCTATTTGGTAAGCTCATGGGCAACAGCCAACAAAATTTAGATTGAAATTAAATAAACTATAAGACTAAACTGATATAATAAAATTCAATGGATAAAACAACAAATCAACAGCATACAGTAAGGGGACAATTGTTTATAGGGTATTAAAAAAATAATAGGTAATGTTGAAACTATATATACATATATTTATCACAACTTACCAATCCCCAATCCCAAATAAAGGGGGAAAAAAATATAAAAACACAAAAAACCCAATAAATATAGGAAAATCCATATCAGCATTTAAAGAGTATTTAGCAAACTCAGAAGTATTTATAGATCCGTATATATTTATGAGTATTTAGCAAACAATAGAAAAACTCATAATATAGAAAAATCCATATTATGAATAAAAAAATTAACACCCATTTCTCATTAAAGAATCAAACATTTCATTAACTGTGTGTGTGTGTTGAGTCAATACCTTTGAGACCAAAAATAGCAGGAAGTGTCTGGTTCATCCTCCTCAGTCACAACATTTAAAAAAGGAAAAAGAAAAAAAAAAGTGTCAATAAGATTACTTGCCTACAATTCTTAACTAATGTCTAATTCTTTGCCTTTTTATGAACTCTCTCAATAAGTCATCCTCCCTCTCCAATGCCAAAACTATTCTTCTCTCATTGAACCAGTTTCTGCTCATCATCTCCCAAAACAGCCTAGCATACAGAACTGGAATTAGAGGTTAGCAATATTTAGATGATTGTTTAAACACCTATTGGCATAATGTTGTTTTAAATTGGGGTTCTGTTCCTAACAGAAAATTAACTATATGGTCAGGAATTATGTGGTATAATATTGAATTTGGTTTATAAACATGTATATCCTAAGCAAAAGGAGCTTATTCTAGCTTGAATGAAACGGAACTTTGATATTTGTTCATACTATGCGATCTCAAAAGTAATGTACACATACCTTATTTGTTTGTCAGAAATCAAAATTATATTATGGGAATGGCTGTGAAATGATAAGTTTATTTATTTTTTAGTTGAACAGAAAGGTCTGGAACCATTATTCTGATATTGCTTTCATGGTTAGACAATAATGTGGCCAAAATTGCCCCCCTTGATGTTACAGGGGTTTGGGTTATTATTAGACCAAAATGGGGGCAATCCCTTTGGATGTCTTTTTATTCTTTATTTTTTATTGCAACATTATGATCCACAATCAACACAATTCGAAGTGGTGGGAAAAGGGAATGAATACATTGGAAGAAGGCACAAAGATAGACCCAAAAAATTCAGAAGATGATGAAGGTTACCTTGCGAGCAAAGTTCGAGATGCAAAAATTGAGGACTGGAGAACTGGAGAGCAACATCAGAAAAAAACAGATCAATTATCAGAACCTTGAAGCCACTGAAACAAAAAGAAAATTCACAAAACCCAATAACAGAAAAACTGAAATTGAATCAAATAATTCTAATTTTAATTTTAGAATTCTAATTCTAATCAAAGAAAATTCTAATTTTAATCGACACCGAATAACCCAATTCTAATTTTAACAGGAGAATCACCCCAGGTTTGTGGCTGCTATGATAACAACAGGAGGATCACTCGTGTACAACAAAATAAAAAACTAACCAGTGGTAATAAAAAAAACAGTCAATGGTGTTCTACAAAAAAATGAAAAAACTAACCAGTGTACAACAAAATAAAAAACTATCCAATGTACAATAAATGGTGTTCTACACTCAATGGTCACCACAACCAGTTCAAAAACTAATGTAGTTCTTGGTGCTTGGATAAAATGTATTAGATCGAGATGAGTTGAGTTTAAAATGGTAATTTCCAAGAAGGTAGGTAAAAATGGTGTTATTAATATATCACTACTAAACAATTCTCACAATGGTGTTATTAAAATAAATCACTACTAAACAATTCTCAAAATGGTGATTTCCAAGAATGGTGATTTCCATCTGTATCATCTATCATCTACTTATGTTAGGTAAAAATGGTGATTTCCAAGAAGTTACGTGTAATAAAATAAAGAAACAGAAATTCTAACATCTATATGTATACATAATCTATGATTATATACATGCACAATTCTCAAACTTTTCACCATCAATTGATTAGAAAAACCCAGCTAGTTGTACTATCAATCATGCGTAAAAATCAGCAATCCAAGGCTGCAAAACCCAGAAAATCTATATATCAATTAGCAATGGGTTTTGTTTTTCTCATATATATTAAAAGATTGTACCATCAAGGTTTTCTTGATATCAACAATAAGGTATAAAACCTCTTTTCTGCATAGATATGATATATCAAATTGTGTACCGAACAGAAACACAATAACAACAGTGAGAATTCCAATTTATATTTAATAATTTTTTTTTAAAAAAAGAAGTAATTAAGGGTGATGATGATGGAAAAGTTCTTCAGCTAAATAATCAGAAAAACCCAAATAATTTGACATTTATGCGGAAATAAAGAAATCACGATCGATTGTCGCAGATGAGTGGAAGAAACTTACTCTAATTAACAAATTGTAGCTCTGGATTTGTACAAAAAGAATAGAGAGCAGAGCATGTATTTATAATGCAATGAAATGCACAATTACACAAAGAAATTAACATGGAGAACACATTCAAATCAAAGACTAATTAATTATCATCTTAACTGTCGAGAAAACGTCCAAGTAAATTATATTCTTTTCTTTTTTTTATTTCTTTAATTGATTAGATATAATTAACTACCAAGAAAGATGCATGGATTTTTAAATCATGACCAGTATCCCAGATGCAATCTAATAGAATTCTAGAATATAATAATATTTTTGGCATTACTTTGTTGTTTCCTTGTTTGTTTACAAAGAAAATAGTAAATCATTGGTCTTTAGAATATCCATTGTTCTCTTATGAAATATAAAATTCTGGATAAAACCAGAATTTTTTCCTAAGTTCGGTCTATTTTTTAGGTGGGTCCCGAGTGTCGATTTACTCGGGTCAAAGTGGTAACGCGTTCTATGCCGCGTTGTGATTCACGTGGTATATTTGGTTGATCAAAACCATTACCGAATGAATGGGAAATTGAAGCCAAAGTGTGCTCCATGGAAATGGAGTTTTGGTGGAAATTCCTTAAGGTTGTAAATTGGCTTGTCCCACATGCAAAGCACAAGGGAGTTTTGAAAGGGTTTATAAGGCTTAGGGTGAGATACTTGGGGTGTGCCCCAAGGGGTACCCAAGTGTTTTAGAGGGAGAGGTTATGGGCTAGACCCATTGGACCCAAAAATCACCACACGCGCGCGCCGCCGTCCGTCCGTCCGGCTGGGCTGGGCCTGGGCTTGGGCGCGGGTGCGTGGTTGGGTTGGAGAGCTCTTCCCGTTTTCAAACAGAATTAAACTGTTTTGGATTTATTGCTCATCCAAACAGAGCCCTTCCCATTTCTATCTGTTTGAATAAACAGATTCAAACCTGTTTAAATTTGAATCTAACAGGTTTCATACCTGTTCAATTCAAAATCAAAAGCCATTTTTACATCTATAAATAGACTAGCCTCCCATTTGGATTTCATTCCAATTTTCGTACTCCATCCTCTGCAAATTATATTCTTCATCTTGCTGCATTTTTTTCGTATTTCACTTCTGTTTTCTATTCTTCATTTTGCTGCATTATTTTCTTGTCAGAGAGAGTATAAACACTTAGTGTGTTCGTAAGGCAAACAATTTGTAGTGCTGCTATTGTTTGTAGTAGATCATTTTATCCTGGGAGATAGACGTCCAAATTCTGAAAGCACCGTGGAGATGACGAATCTGTCTTAAGGACACAGTGTTAAACACTGGACTTGATCAGAAAAGTTATTCAAATAAATTAACCAAGTAAGTTGTTTAATTTTATTCTGTTTTTTATTATGTTTATTTAATCAGATTTTATTTTTGTTTTTGTAACAAAATAAAATCTGTGGTTTTATTTATTTATTTATTATTTCGAGTTTGATTTTTGTAATCAAACAAATTCTCTCCTTTTTCTTTATTTCTTTAAATTCTTATTGTTGTTGTATACACAATAGAATTAAATCTTTTAAATACAGTGAACATTGTCCAACATATTTCACATATTGTTTTGAAATTTTACATCTCACATATATTATTTTCGAGTAGACTATTTGTCTAGACTCAGATTTTTTAATTAATTAATTTAATTTTAAAACTATATTTTCAAATAAATATGACTATAATTTATGAATAATTATAGGTATTCAAAATTTATTTATTACTCCTCAGGAGAGCTAGTTTAGGATTGTCCCTTATAAATTAAAATAATTCAACACAAAAAATCTCTTTCTCAAAGTACTTTGACGAGTCCCTAAGGCAACCTTTGAGATAATTTGGCGAGAAAGCAGCTACAGCAATCATTGACCTTGAGACTATATACCAATTAAAATTGATCGTCACTCAAAACATTTTTAAATTTGTTTGCATCTTCTTGAGCTGCTAGATCATTAGAGTGACATCAATTGTTTGATCATCACTCAAAAGCTTTATGCTGCTGAAATGGAATAAAGAACTTAATGTACTTTTCTTTTTCTTTTTTTCTTTTTTTGGTGGTGGCCTCATTCAACAACATATTTTTTTTTAGTAACTTTTAAATTTTTTAATTAAAATATAATATAAAAAAAATTAATATATTTGGAACGATTTTTTGATTTTTTATAAAAAGATATGAAAAAAATAAAGAAAAAATAGAATCCTTGACTTTTTTATATAGGTTGTCTACTTTTTGATTTTTTTATTGATTTTTTTGACTTTTAAACTAAAAAGTGATTTTGTCAAACGAGACCTAAATTCACTTTAACCAAACAAGACATTATTTCACATATCAATATTATATTAAAATGTTGGGTAAACTATCAATAGATCCTAATATTAATTCTCCTCAAGTTTTAATAAAATCGTCTTTAAAAATAATTTTGTGACTATTTTTTTCATATATTGCTAAAAATTTTAAAATTAACAATTAATAATTTTTTTGTCACGATTTTTATAAATTGTCGCTAAAACTTATAATTAGTGACTTTTTGTGACGAATTTTTCAATCACTGAAAGTTGTAACTTTGTGACATTTTTTGTGACGATTTTTTTAAACTATCATTAAAACTTATAATTAATGACATTTTTTTGTGACAATTGTCAAACTGTCGCTGAAAATTAACAATAAATGACATTTTTTTAATAATATTTGATAAAAAAAACGACATTAATTCTCACATGACGTATTGAACAATAAGTCTACCTATTAAATTTTTTTTTATAGGTAAGTCATAAATTAAAAACAAAGTTTACTCGTTTACAAGGGACATATCCCAGGTAATACAACAAATCTACATTTCCCAAAAAATGGGAGACTAATACAAATAACTGATAAAAAAATAAAACCAAAATAAATTTAAAATTGTCCATTTATCAATTTGTCCGTAAGTACTTACTATCATCAAATAGATAATAGATGAATACTTGAAGAAGATATATAGACATTTTATACAAAAAAAAAAAAAATTCAATAAACCACTAAACAAAATTAACACGGCTGATCAAACAAATTACGTAGGCCCCGCGGGACCCACAGCCCAATACCTACTCGAACAAATCACCGTGGGAACACCATTTTGCTCACACGTGGGAAATTTCAAAAACAAAACCAGCACACAGTTTTCATATACCACCAAGGTTGCATACAAAAAACAGCTGGCTACAACTCCACCCACGTCCACCCTCCTACTGCAGCAACAGCCCAACACAAGGCGGGACATCACTTCAACACAGAAAGGCAACGTGGGATGGCTACCCATGGCTTCACGCGCACCAGAGGCGCGTCGCCACACCTCCAATCAAATGGAATTGCACCACAACGAAGAGCTACAGCGTAACGATGTAGCAACAACGGCAGCAAACCAGACCCAGAAACCACTGCCGGAAGCACAGCTCGGGCAGAAACAACACATATATATATATATAAGTCCTCCTAATATGTAAGTCCTCCTAATATATACACGTACTAGCGTATGCCCGTGCCTAAAGGCGCGGTGTAAATAATATTAAAATTAAAATGCAGTTATAAAAATATATTTAACAGACTGTACTCTACAATTCCAAACAAATCAAATATAAAAAAAAATTAAAATATCAAATAATGCACAATAGCCAGTGCTCTGCAATTTAAAAGAAATTAAAAAAAAAAAAATTATCCCAAAACCCTGGAGGGGCACATGACTTCCCTGGAGCCTCTATGCCTCCGCCACTACTTACGTCTCTTTGCCAACAAAAATTTGTAAGGAACACTTATCAATCAGTCTAATTAACTAGGCTTAATTATCTACAGTTTCTAATTGATAAATTTGTCACTATAAATTTATTCATAAAAACAGTAAAGTCTGATAAATAAATTTATCAATAAAACTTAATAGGTAATAAGTTCTAAAAGTATGACCTATTAATAATATATCTAATTTGAATAGTTGAAATTTTGTAAGTTGAAACCGTGACACAGTGGTTAATGATTTTTTTTATTATTTCGTTTCTCTCTTATTTTTGGTTATTGCAGCTTCATTGTAACTCAAATGCAAATTAGAAAGAAAAACATCGTGAAACTTATCTTAGGCCTTTTGTTTGGGAATGTGAAGGACATTATTTCTTCATTTGATTAGCATGAAAAATAAGCAAAAATCAATAAATTATAAAAAAGTAAGGAAGATTTTTACTTTGGATAAGATATGATTATCGTTTGTCTTATTCTTCATCTTTTATCATTTTTTTAAAAAATAAATAAATAAGTAAATGTTTATTTAAATTGGAGACATTTAATACGTGACAATTAAATAAGATAAATTATTAATAAATTCTAGTAGTTGGACTTAATTCTTATTATGTCCCTATTAATTCGTCGCTAAAAGTTGGTCCTACCATAATTGTCACTAAAGAAATATTTATGATGATTTTTTGAATTTGTTGCAAAGAACTAACAATTGATGACATTTTTGTGATGATTTTCTAAATCTGTCGCTAAAAATTGATAATTAACGACGTTTTTCTGTGATAAATTTTTTAAATTATCATTAAAAACTAATAATTAGCAACTTATTTATTAATTTATTTATTTAGTATGAAAAAGCCACTAACTAACATAAAACCTATTGAAAAATATAAGTCTACCTATTGCACGTAAATCACCCCATTATTTTTCCTTTTTCTTTTGTGTTTTTCTGTCTTTTTCCAATATTGTTTCATAGCTTTTCCAGACACCAATTGTTAGGCTAGCGTTAGTTAAGTCGTCTCTTTCCAATGAACAAAATCTTTGAAATATGAAGTTTTGGATTAATAAGTTGCTTTAGGGAATGTTTGATGTTCAGTATTTAAAATTGAATATATTAAACGATAATCAATTAAGTCTGTTTAATAATCATAATTGATATCAATGAAAAATTTAAATATCTCTTAAAATATTAGTCATATAAAATTTATTTAATTCTAACTGAATTTATAAATATTAAATATAAGTATCAATATACATTATTACAAAACGTTAAAAAATACACTACTACAAATCCATCACCACCACCATCATGCTACCGTTGCCACCACCACTATTACCACCATCACTACTACTACCACCATCGCTATCATTATTACCGCCATCACCACCACCACTACTATCACTATCACTATCTTTATCATTACTGTTAAGCACCAACATCATTTTACTACCACTATAATCGTTACTGCTACCACCACCACGACGCCACACCACCACTATTAATGCTTACCAATACCACAACAATCACCACTATGTCACTGCCACCACTACCACTACTGTCACCATTATGTCGCTGCCACCACCACCACCACAACTATCACCACCTTCATTACTAT